ACGGGGGAGCCTGGTGGGCCGCTGTCTATGGGGTAGCACAGAGTCAGACACGACTGAAGCGACTTAGCAGCAGCAGCAGCGGAATGAAGGGTGGAGGGAGCATGTTCTATGTCTTCTTAGATTCTGTGTTTGTCTATTTGGCTTCCATTCACCACAAGTCTAATTATATGAACTCTAGTTTCTTATTTTCCGTATTTTCGATGCTCTGGCATTTGTGACCTTGCTACCTGGGGAGAAACTGCCTCTCTCAGAGTTACCCAATTCTTAGAGATAGCAAAGGGGCATGCAGTCTGGGATGTTCACAGTAGCATCTGCAGTCACCCCAGATTAGAAACAATCTAAACAGCCAACAATAGGAGGTTCTGTCCCACAAATTTTGATGCAGCAGCTCAACAGATTGGGCAATCATTCAGAAAGCATGCTTCCAACCACCACTCAGTGACATAGGGGAATAGTCCATCAACAAGGTTAAGAAAAACAACCAAGATACAAAACTCTTTGACCTCAAATTTGGAATACCAGAAAGAGACAGGAAGGAAATTTACAGAAACAGGAACAAAGGTTGGCTCCAAGTAACTGAGCTGGTGATTTTTTTTTAAGTCAAACCTTAGGGGGAATGAATTCCTTTTTATGTATTTCAGTGAACATTTCTTTTGATTACACATTCTCTTGCATGCATGGAGGGGCTGCCTGTTTCTGCCAGTGATAAGCACACAGACCCTGGATGTATCTGTTAGCCAATACTGCCCCGTATGACTGTCTCATTAGAAAATATAAAATTCCGAACCTAAAAAAAAAAATAAAAGCTCTTGCCTTGTAGGAGAAGGAAGCCTCTCTTGCGGGGTTGGCACTGCTTGTGGGCAGGAGCTGCTGGAGCTGCAGGGCTGCACCGTGAGCTCCGTCCATGGCGGGCTCAGGGCACAGACCAGCTGGCCTGGATCTGGAGCTGCTGCTAAGCCATCATTCCTGGCGGGGTTCACCTCCTTCCACCAGCCGTCGCCTTCTCACGTGGAAAGAGTACTTCAAGGCTCTTTAGGCCAATTTACAGCCTTTTCCTCATCTTCACTCAGAGACGTGCCAGTTCCTAAGTTTCTTCTCAGGCAGACAGATGGGGACGCGTTTCCTGATTCTCGTGGTGCCCTAGCAGGAGGGGAAGAACATTAAAAATGCAGGTACAGTGAAACATTGAGCCGGATTTGTTACCTGAGAAGAGATTACCATCAGGACAAAACACAAACTGCCATGAGAAGTGAGGCCATTTAAAAAATTACATCGTGCCTTTGGCCACTTAATAAAGATATGGCTCACCTACCTCAAAACCATCTTCCCCAGTCCTTTAAAATCCCCTTTCCTCTTCTCCTTCACTTCCTTCCTTCTATCATATGTGTGTGTGTGTGTGTGTGTGTGTGTGTGTGTGTGTGTGTGTTAGTTGCTCAGTCATGTCCGACTCTTTGCGACCCCATGGACTGTAGCCTGCCAGGCTCCCCTGTCCATGGAATTCTCCAGGCAAGAATACTGGAGAGGGTTGCCATTTCCTTCTTCAGGGTATCTTCCTGACCTCGGGATTGAACTGGAATCTCCTGCATTGCAGGCAGATTCTTCACCATCTAAGCCACAAGGGAAGCCCTCCTTCCATCATATCCTAATTTAAATGCTACCTTTCCATAGGTTCCCCTACAGAAGAAGAACACTGCCTGTATCTACTTCTCTAGGATTCCAAAAAAGAAAAGAAAAAAATTCCACTGCCATAAAAAACAAACCATCTGCATTCTGACTTAGAAAGATGGAATGAGAAGAAAAGTTATCTCTATGGAAGAGGGACAAACTGGCCTGCTCCGAGGGTCTGCCTAGGGTGATATAACGTCGGACCAGCAGGCAGAAGACCTAAGGGACCAGATCGTTTTGCCTCTGGGAGTCTCAGCTGCCTCATCTGCAGAGCAGGGGTAATAATATGGCCTCAAGTAAAATCAGCAATGATGGAAATTCCCATTAACTTCATTGGACTGACATTTTCAGGGCATCTCAAGCTTTTCTACCAAATTAAGAAGAAAGAGAAAGTACACCCCTAGTGTTTTGGGGAGCATGGCCAAAACACCCACAACAAGTGCTTAGGGTTTCTTTGAGGTTCATGTATAAAAAAAAATAAAAAGAAGCATACAAATTAGTTTTCTACTTACAAAGTCTGTTATATTAATATAAAAATATTTTACATTACTTTTGACCTGTCACATGCTTATCTGTTTCACCTTGGCCAAGTCATTTAACTTTTTAGCAACTTTCTCCTCCTATGAAATATGGATATTCCATGTCCATGTGTTGTGAGAATTTGGTGAAATAATGCATACAAAATGCATGTGGTCACAGCAAATGGTCAATGAATGTCAGTTATAATTAGTATTAATTTTATTCTTACCAGTTTATTGAATTTACCTATGAATACACCTTTCTTTGTCTCAAGCAACAAATGTTTGAGGGTTTACTACATTCCAAACAGACAAAGTTTCTGATGTGCTTCAAGGCATCAGAAAGATGCCTCCTATGGCTACCCACTCCAGTATTCTTGCCTGGAAATTCCCATGGACAGAGGAGCCTTTTGGGCTACAGTTCACGGGGTTGCAAAGAGTTGGGCATGACTTAGTGACTAAACCACCACCATCCTACCAGTAGCCTCCAGTTCCCTCTGTTTTCTAGCCCCAGGCCCAGGAATTCTGGCTCCTGGAGTGAACAGCACAGTCCTATGATATAGGACTGATACTGCATTCAGTGTCTAGGAGACATCGGATGCAGGGCTCAAGCCAAGGGCAGCACAAAGGCCATTTAACCCAGGCTCACTTTGTCAAAGAGCCTCAAAGTTAATGACTGCTGCTGCCTCTAGACAAGGTTATATAATCAGTGTGTATATATATATATATATATATATATATGCCTGAAATATACTTATCAGACAAGCTTATAACTCAAATCCCATAACCAGATGTTCCTGACTGTAAAGCCCTATGAATGTTTGTAATCTTGTGAAAAGTATAATTATTCTTCACCATACTTTTATGCCTTAGAAAGGAAGAGTGACTCCTCCAACCTCTGAGACACTCCTAGTGTCTTCAGCCTGGAGGTGAAGGGGCGCTGAAGCAAAAACTCTGGGAAGCTGTTTGCTGAATCCCCTGTTCAATTGCTGCCTCCCAAGATCTAGCCTAGAGCCTGGCATGGTGACCTCCATACACACCTACTGACTGGCTCTAGACAGGCCAGTGAAGCACCCGGTCCACCAGGGCAGCTTCACAGTCAAGAAGGGAATGGCTTACTCAGGCCTCACCCACTACAACTCTAGAGATAAAACCCATAGAGCCAGCCCCACCCACAGCACATCAGAGAAGCCATAGGATGTGCCAAGGGGGTGATGGGAATCCAGACCTTCTAACCTCCTTCAGATCAGCTGGTCTCTTCAGGTGGGTTTCTGTATTTGCTTTCCTTTGTGGTGGCTGCGGTTGCTCGCATTTAATTATCTTTTAAAAAGCAGCTTCCCTCTCGCGCCTCAGGAACCCCCAGGCCTCTGAGGCATCAGGGCCCACAGAGATAGAAAACTCCCCCTTCAGCTAGGTAGCATTTTGGACTGAAAGCCTTGGAGGATTCTATGTAAGCTGTCTTCCCTTATAAGGCACACATTTTTTGCCTAGTGACTTTCTTTTCCAGACTGCAAAACACTTTTCCAGGTCTAACGTGTGCCCCAGAGGCAAGCAAACCAACTCTGTGTTGCTCACCACCCCTCAAGTTTGAGGCCCACACAGCCATCCGTGAGCACGGGGGTCACTGACTCAAAAAGGGAAAGACAAATCCACTAAGGGATGGCTTTCACTCCACCTCCTAGTCCTCATCTGAGAATTATTTCACCAACCCACAAAGTAGGTTTCCTAGATTAGAGAACCATCGGTCTTGGCTGCTAAGAGTAGGGTCTGTATTATAATTTGGCTCTATCTAATGAGATGGTTGAATGGCATCACCGACTCGATGGACGTGGGTTTGGATGAACTCTGGGAGTTGGTGATGGACAGGGAGGCCTGGCGTGCTGCAGGCCATGGGGTCGCAAAGAGCCGGACACGACTGAGCGGCTGAACTGAACTGAAAGAAATAATTCGCACACGCCCTTTCCCACCACCTGCCGGTTCAGCTTCTGGTTGCTGAGTGCCAGTTACAGGGTAAGCGCTTTCCCTTTCCTGGGCTTCGGTTCACGAAAGGGTTACCCTCTTCAGTCCCCACCCAATGCGCTGGAAATGACTTCCAGTGGCCAGCACGGACCAAGAATGCGTCCCCCACCCCTACCCCTGCCCTCGTCATCCACCTGCTAACTGCACTATCTGCTGTCCCTTGGAAGCCCGAGCCGGTGTTTACAGGCACAATTTTGACTAAGTCACTCCATTTCACTTCCTGATTTGGTCAAGCCTGTCATCGCCTTTATTAAGGCAAACCCATGGCCCTTTTCTCGATGCGAAAAAAAAAAAAAAAAAAGGCAGCATTCTGAGCCAACGAGACCCAAACTGACAAGGCTGGTGACAGCAAGAAGGAAGATGTGTATACTGGGGACGTCAGAGGATCACAAACGCCTTGGCTTTTCCTGAAACCGAAGGCTGAATTCAACCCCATCACCAAACCCGCCTTAAGTCTAAATCACTACTCACCGGCGGCGTTTCCGCTAAGGCCCACAGATCAGAGGTTTCCGAGGCACGACTTGGATTCCTCGAGCAAGCCGGAGGTACAGCCCTCCTAAATTCCTTCCCCGACTCCAGAGATGCAGAGCGGCTGCCGTGTTGGGCTTTCCGAGGCCGCGACTCGATTTGCCAGGCCACCTGTCAGTCAAAAGCTGACCGGCATCTGGCGCCGGCGAGTGGCTTCGAGGAGGAGGCGGGCGGGACAGCCCTCGGCCATTGATTGGCTGGCACGCAGAGCTCGCTGGACGCGTAGGGGGCGAGCCCTGGGGAGGCGGTGCCCTGTTGGAGCCCAGAGCTCACCTGGAGAGGGGTCCCTCTAGCGGTCACAGGGAGGACGTCGGGCTGGGTCTGGAAGGCTCCGGGTGACATGCTCACTGCAACTGCCCTTATAGGTGGGCAGCCTGCCCGGGTGTTCCCCGCCACCCCCTCCCCGCCTTTACCCTCGGAGCCCTCTCCTGGGCTTTGCTCCTGCTGTTCCCCCACCCCACGATCTCACCAGGTATTCAAATCCTACACATCCTTCAAGGCCCGGTTCCCCCCCAAAGCCGCGAGGCAAAAAACGTCTCTCCTTGCCTGCCCTCCTGGAACACCTGTTGGCAGCACACTACACCCTCCCGGTAACATCCGCATCTCAGTTCAGTTCTGTCGCTCAGTCGTGTCCGGCTCTTTGCGACCCCATGGCCTGCAGCACGCCAGGCCTCCCTGTCCATCACCAGCTCCCGGAGCCTGTTCAAACTCATGTCCGATGAGTCGGTGATGCCATTCAACCATCTCATCCCCTGTCGTCCACTCCCCCCACTCCCACTTCGATCTTTCCCAGCATCATTGTCTTTTCAAATGAGTCAGCTCTGCGCATCAGGTGACCAAAGAATTGGAGCTTCAGCTTCAGCATCAGTGCTTCCAATAGCAATACTTAAAGTCCTCCCATAAGCCTAGCACTTGATAAATGCTTCTGTAATGTACCACTGTAATAGTTCTGCTTCATGGATATATTGAACAATATATCCTTGTTATTGAACTGATATATTGTTCAATATATTGAACAATCTAGCCGACATTTTATAAGAAGTATAATGGGGTACAGCCTTTAAAAATCGTGAATCACTATACTGCACACCTGTAACATACAGCAACTATCCTTCAACTAAAAATTATTTTTTTGAAAAATAAAATGTATTTTTAAAATAATTAACAGGTACAGGGAGCTTCGCTTTTTCACATTTCATTCCAGATCCTCTCAACAACCCAGTGAGTGAGACGCTGGGCTCACGCCTGTTTCACAGATGAAGACGTGCTATTTGGACAGAGACCTCGACCGTGAGAAAGAGGCAGTTGTGATGCAGACGCTGACACCGAGTGAGCTCAGAGAGAACGCCCGACAGTGGATCGAGGTTGACAGAATTGTAGCAGCTGCCCAAAGGACAGCGTGGCAGGTGCGAGATTTTATTGGGGGCGTGGGAGGGAGGAGCTGAGATCAGAGGGCCGGGCCGGGGACATGAAGATGTTTGGATTTCACCTTAAGTTTAAAGGGGAGCCTTTGGAGGGTTCTAAGTAGGGGAATGACAAGATCACTGGTTGCCCATGGAACACTCCACGGCTGGCCCTGTATATTGTTACCCATTATCAGTCTTTTTTCTTTGACTATCATAAAGAGGGCTTCAATGAATGTTAGTTCTTTTAGCTTTATTCCTTGAAGCAGGGTTTCTGGGTGAGCAAAATTCTAAGGCTTTGGGTCTATCACGAGATTTAGGGGGTTGTCTAGATAAGCCCGTATTGTTTCCACACCCATCCTGCCTTAGTTAACCTGAGCCCCCAAATTCTGGCCGCTTCCCAGCGGTTTTTGAAATGCCTCTGATCATTGGCCAACAGCTTTTCACGCTAAAGAAACGAAGGACACCATTGGCTCGAGATCATCAGGAAGCGGGCAGAGGGTGGAAGCTAGAACTCTAGGCTTGTGGTTGCCATAGCGACAAGGAGGCCGCCGGCCAGATTCAGCCCAGGGGGACAGACGAGGTAGGAAGCCGTCCCTTTTGGGGGGGCGAATGCCGGGGTCGTGGGGAGGAGGACACGGCGCACTGCATTAGACGCCGACTAAGATCCCCGCCTGCCGCGTGCGTGATTCCGATGCCAAGCTAGGTGGTACCGCGAGAGCCTGAAGAAACCACTGTTGGAAGTTCCCCTCCCTGGAGGTTGCCCTCAGAGCCCCCACCTGAAAAGTGGCGATAATAACCAGGGCATGCCTTCCCCGTGGAGCTCCGGTGAGGGGTGTGGACTACTGATTCACCCGCCTCAGTCCAGGCGAGTGTACAAACATTTGGGGGCATCTGGCAGCAGGTGGACGGCAAATAGCTAAATTCTAATCCCAGGTCCACTCCATCTCCTTAGGCGTCCCTCCTCTTTCTGGGCGCCTTGGATTACTCATCTGTTAAACGAAAGGGTGTGATTGGAATCTAGAGATCACTGGTGGTGGTGGTGGTCGTTTAGTGTCTAGGTCGAGTCCGACTCCTCTGACCCCATGGACTGTAGCCTGCCAGGCTCCTCTGTCCATTGAATCCTCCAGGCAAGAATACTGGAATGGGTTGCCATTTCCTTCTCCAAGGGATCTTCCCGACCCAGGAATTTAATTCGGGCACTAGCCAGCTCCTAAAGTTTCTTCCAGCTCTTAGAAACACTTTTCTCAGCTAGAGAAAAATATCAAATGGATTATTTACCTGAGAGTGCTTAGAAAAATGTAAAATATTCCAAGATGCACTATAGCATTATAACTGAATCAATAAAAATCTCATATAATCAAAACTACTCATGTAAACCCCATAAAATTACATAAAAAGTAACAGAATACATGATATACTAGTATATATTTGTATATTTCTACCAATATATATAATAGTATACACTGTATATACTTGTAGTATATATTGGTATACTTGTACCAATATATATAATAGTATACACTGTATATACTTTTAGTATATATTGGTATACTTGTACCAATATATATAATAGTATACACTGTATATACTTGTAGTATATATTGGTATACTTGTACAGTAATATACACATTTAAATGTATGAAATATGTAATACTATAAGATAAATGGGGCTTCCCCGGTGGCTCAGATGGAAAGGTTTTTTTTTTAAAACAGAGATGGTAGAATGAAAACATGCCTATAGTTGTAGTCATGTGAGTTAAATCTTTAAAGAATGTAGCTCCTGATGGAAAGAGTTGTATTATGAGTACATCTGTATTCATTCTAGATGAAGAAGTGAAGTGAAAGTCACTCAGTCATGTCCGACTCTCTACAACCCCATGGGCTATTCGGTCCATGGAATTCTCCAGGCCAGAATACTGGAGTGGGTAACCTTTCCCTTCTTCAGGAGGTCTTGCCAACCCAGGGATCGAACCCAGGTCTCCCACATTGGAGGCGAATTCTTTGCCAACTGAGCCACAAGGGAAGCCCATTCATTCTAAATAAAATGTGTCTTTTCCTATTATTCATCCATTCATTCAAGCCACAAATATTTACTGATCAATTGCTGTGTGCCAGGAAACAGTCTGGGGATTCAATGATGAATGTCTTATTGAAGAAGATCATAAACAAAAAATATTTTATATATTACATATAAAATATGATGTGGATAGTGAAATGAGCTTTCAGGAAAATAAAGCAGAGTCAGATGGGGCTAGAGAGACAGGAGTGGTGCTTCCCAAGAGAGAGTGGCCAAGGAAGTTATCCCAAAGGCAGTTTGAGGACAGACCCAGATGAATCTGGTGACAGGGTGAGAAGGTGGTGCCCAGTGCAGTAAAGGGAGGAATCCCCATGTTACAAGTGTATTGCAGAAGTGAAGAGGTCCTTTGTGGAGAAGATGATTAGTTTTTAGGAGATAGGTTATGACCGCTGCCTTCAAATATCTGAAGAATAGTCACATAGAACAGTGTCTTTTAACCTTTCTGACTGTGATCCATGGTAAGAAATGTATTTTATATTGTGACCCAGCACATATACCTATTCACGTAACAAAAACTTCACAAAAGACTGTTAAGCTGTGACCTACATTTCAAAACTCACCAATGTGGAAGAGGAGTGAAGCTTATTCTGAGCTGATTCAGGCAGGAACTTTCTAGCAATTAGAACTCTTACCAGTGAACTGCCTCAGCAATTTTCAAACTGAGTTCTGGGGAACCCCAGAATCCTGGGGAAATTACAGTTTGAAAATGCTATGCAATATCTTAGTTTTTATGAGACCTATCATGCAGACTCGGGGTGATCAATGTCAACATTTAGTATGCTAACATTTAGTGTGTGCTGCTTTAGAGATTATTAGAGCGGTTCAGAGTAAGCAGAAATCAGACTTCTGGATTCAAAGTCTGATTCTACCTCTTAACTTGTGGTATGACCTTGAGTAAGTCACATAACCTCTCCCTCTGACCATCAGTTTTCCTATCTGTAAATAGGGATAATACCTCACTGGATTATTTTAAGGATTGTATAAAATATTCTATAAAGGCATCTAGGAGTGTTAGGGCTCAAGAAATGACAGCTCTTATTTTAAACTGTTAATATATTATCAATGTGCATATATTAAAACCAAATGTTAATAAAAGCCTACTGTAGGCCAGGCAGCATTAACTACTTCTTGTGGAGCATAATATTTAATCCTCACAAGCGTCTTAAGAAGAAGGTGCTGTTACCAATCTCAGTTTATCGAGGAGAAAGTGGATTCAACTAGTCAAGTGACTCATCCAAAATCAGAACTATTAAGTGGCAGAACCCAGGACTGTTAACCTTGAACACAGGAATGGACACTCTTGATCATTGCACTGGCCCTCACCTGAGAACTGCATGAACATGTGCTGTTGATTAGGAAGGTGGTACATCTTCATTGCTCTTTCTGAGATTCCAGGCCCATGACATCCTGTCATGAACAGTTATACAAGCAAGTGCACCAGTGAGACACACTTGGGCAGTGCTCCGTTCACACTGGGGCTGCACCTTCTCTCATCCTGGCTTCACAGGTATGCAGTAAGGAGCCTGGAAAGCGTAGTGTTGTCTTTGGGTGGTAGGAATGGATTGTTTTCTTAATCTTTTAAACTTCTTATCTTTCCCCGAACTGGACAATATGCACATATCACCATTGTCATAGGAAGGTTTAATTTTTTTTCTAATCACCCACAATTCTAGCACACTAACGCCTTAAAGAAATTACAGCTTTATTGCAGCCAGGGAAATAGATGGTTCTTACAAAGACAACAATAGTGTACTGAAAGGGAATAAGTGAATAGTGGCTGCTTTCATAGACCTTAAAAGAGATTCTGATACTGAAGTAGTGATTGTGCTGTGATCAATACTGACTTATTTCTGTTTTAAATTTCTTTGACTGTTTTGCCAATAATTATATTAAATAGTTAGTACAGATTGTCAACCAAAAAGGATTGAGAATTGCTGCTGTGAGGGTGATGGAATAAAGTGAAGAATAAATACTGAAGGACCAAAGAATTGGTAGAGCTTAACATCATTTATTCCATCCTTCATTCATTAGTATTTATAAATGATGTAAATTACTTAGGGGGGGATAAAAAGATGAACAAAATAAAACTCAAGTCTGTTTACAAAAGATTAACTCTGTGAAACGCTCCTGCCGTTAACGACTGAAAACGGACAAACGCGTGAAGCATAGCTTTTAGACACTGAACAACAAGGCCCTCAGTTCAGTAATCCCTGAGAGAAGAGAAATAAGGTGAGCCCCGCAACTGCTCCAGCTAATGCTGGAGAGAGTTTCTAGGCCACAGTTCAGGGACAGGGAGACCCACGCGAAGTCCGGCTCTCTGAGCTGGGGAGATAGAAGTCAGGACTCGGGGAGGGCAAAGAGGCTGGAATTTACAGGTAACGGACGGGCCTGCACAGAAGAAGGAAGAGAAAGAATGGACACGTGCACGCGAAGGCCCTAAGCCTGGGGAAAGAGCCGCGGAGAGCAGGGCAGGCCCAGGAACCGTCCACACGCGCACCCCTGCTCCTTATGCCTCCTCCCGCCTCGGTCCCCACCGAGCACCGGGTAGGGCTCCGTGTGCCGCACGCAGGTGCTCACTCGGCTTCCGTTTTACATATAGTGGCGATCGTGTGTCAGCTCCAGTCGCCCAGCTCAGCCCGTCGCCTGAACAATTTCTGGGTCTTTCTCCCACAGAACTGGGACTACTCGATGTTCCCGCAAACCAGAATACAGAGACACTACATTAGATGAGGATTGATTGGGTAGAGTCCATAGAAACATCATGTCTTAGTAGTGGAGATAATTATTCTCACAATAAAAACTGCTCTGGATTCACTACGTGTGAAAGTGAAAGTCACTCAGTCGTGTCCGACTCTTTGCAACCCCACGGACTGCAGCACACCAGGCTTCCCTGTCCTTCGCCATCTCCTGGAGCTTGTTCAAACTCATGTCCATTGAGTCAGCGTTGCCATCCAACCATCTCGTCCTCTGTCGTCTCCTTCTCCTCCTGCCTTCCTGCCTTCGATCTTTTCCCAGCATCAGGGTCTTTCCCAGTGAGTCAGCTCTTCGCATCAGGTGGCCAAAGTTTAATGGAGCTTCAGCTTCAGCATTAGTCCTTCCAATGAATATTCAGGTATGATCTCCTTCAGGATAGACTGGTTGGATCTCCTTGCAGTCCAAGGGGCTCTCAAGAGTCTTCTTCAACACCACAGTTCAAAAGGATCAATTCTTTGTTATTCAGCCTTCTTTATGGTCCAACTCTCACATCTATACGTGACTCCTGGAAAAACCATAGCTTTGACTATACAGACCTTTGTTGGCAAAGTAATGTCTCTGCTTTTTAATATGCTGTCTACATTTGTCGTACCTTGTCTTCCAAAGAGCAAGCATCTTTTAATTTACAATTAATAAGGTTTACAAAATGTGTTGGTGAGGATGTGTAGCAATTGTAACAAATTACTGACACGTGCAACCACATGGGAGAATCTCAAAAGCATTGTGCTAAGTGAAAAAAAGAGACACAAAATGGTATATACTATGTAATTACCCATATATGACATCTAGAAAAGGCTACTATTGTGACAGAGAGCAGAGCAGTGGTTGCCAGATGCCAGAGTTGGGGGTTGGATATTGAGTGCAAAGAGACATAGGGAGCTTTTTGGGGAGATGCATATATTTATATTTTAATTTTGGTGGTATTTTACACAATTGTAAACATTCACCAAAACTTAGAATTGTGCACTTTGAATCAATGCATTACCATGTATGTGAGTTATATCAATAAGATAAATGTGTAAAATTCAAGCCTCAGGAGCTCTGTAAACAACACCAACAAAGAACACTTCGAGTTCCAACTATAGGCAGTGCAATGTGGGATTTAGGGTCGTAGAAGTTGGTAAATCCCAGCCTCTACCCACAAGATTTCTGTTTACCCAGCAAATACAACAGAACCCAATTAACACAATTAACAAAATCGTGAAATGATTCCTACATATGCTGTATTTTGCTGTTTCAGGTGCTTAGAAGAACATGTAGTCAAGTTTTTCATCAAACAAATGGAACGTATCACAGAACTTTGCTAAGATGGACACACAAAAAGACCAACACTCTGGCAAAAAATATTCCAGAAAGACTAAAAAAGTCCAGAAAGGTGTAGTGAACTTTTAACAGCGGTCTCTGGGAGGGGAGGGGCAGGCTCCTGATGTATGTTCATTTCAGTATCCAAGAGCAAATTTTAGGGGACTTTTAAGTGCTGCTTTTTACCCGTAAGGCTGTTCTTGAGGATATCAAACAGATTGCTTTAGTCATCCCTCCACTGCTTCGAGGGTGATGACTGGAAAGAAACTATGAGAAGAAAGGATGGAGGGGAGAGGAGGAAGAGATCTTATTTATTTCCTAAAACTTAACCCAAGCCCCCACTATGCTGGGTTGTTGGAAAGTTTGACACAGATGACTTGTTTCAAGTTTTCCGTCTTTCTCAGTGGACAGAGGTGATGTGGTCATGGGTCACCCATGCAGACGGGTGGGAGATGCTCTGTCTCAGCCCATGTACTCCTCTGCTCTTGTTAGTATGCACTAATCCTGGACTACACCTGGACTTGGGGAATCATGGCCGAGGCTGCACATTTTGACATCCTCACTCACTCCACCACTTTTTCTTTGGGGGCAGGGGGGGTGGGTGGTGGTTATTACCAGTTACCTGGTGGGCTTTTACAGTCTCTGCTGCTCTCAGACCCAGAGCTGGACCTTTCTTCCTTCCTCCCATCTTTTGATTTATTGCTGTCTCTTTTTCTTGAATACTTTCAAATTGAAGCTTCATGTATATTCAGAAAATAAATCATAATGGTACAGCCTAATGGTCACAAAGAAACCACCACTTACAGAGTCACTTCTCAGACCCAGAAACAGACACTCCACAGCATCCCAGGAGCCCTTGTCCCTTCATGGGCACTGTCCCTCTTCTCTGCAAGTGTCAACACCATAGCTCACCTGACTTTTAACATCATTAATTACTTTATCACTTTAATATCATTAATTACTTTAGTCTTTTGAACTTCCTATAAATCGGAATCATATAGTATGAACTCGTCTCTCAGGCTTTTTTCCTTCATGTTATGTTTTGAGAGATATAACTTCGTGTTTCATGTTATCAGTAATTAGCTCATTTTCATTGCTGTGAAGTTTTTCTTTGACTGAATGTACCATAATTTGTTTATCCTTTAGACTATCGAAGGACATTTGGATTGTTTCCAGTTTTGAGCCATGACTAAAAGCTTTTGTGACTATGCTTGTTCTTCTCTTTTGGGACATACGTGTATATTCTCTTTGGGTCTATACCTAGGAGAATTGCTGGGTCATAGAGAGTGTTTAGGATCAGCTTAGTTGATACTACCAGTTTTCCAAAGTGGATGTGCCATTTTTACTTCCTTGCAGAATTCCAGTTGCTCCACATCGTCACCATCATTTTTAGCTCATAATGCTTTTAATCTATATTGTCCTTTGGTCATTAAGATTGAGCACTTTTTCATATGTTGGCTTATCTTTAGGATATTCTCTTTGGAGAAGTGACTGTTCAGTTTTTTCTATTGGGTTTTTCTTTTCTTAGGTGTTCTTAAAAACATACTAGGAATACATCCTTTTTGTCTATATATAAACACCTTCCCTGAGTCTGTGACTTTCCTTTACATTCTCTTCAGTTCAGTTCAGTCGCTCAGTTGTGTCCGACTCTTTGTGACCCCATGGACTGCAGCACTCTAGGCCTCCCTGTCCATCGCCAACTCCCAGAGTTTACTCAAACTCATGTCCATTGAGTCCGTGTTGCCATCCAACCACCTCATCCTCTGTCACCCCCTTCTCCTCCCACCTTCAATCTTTCCCAGCATCAGGGTCTTTTCAGATGAGTCAGTTCTTCGCTTCAGGTGACCAAAACATTGGAGTTTCAGCTTCAGCATCAGTCCTTCCAATGAATATTCAGGACTGATTTCCTCTAGGATGGACTGGTGGTGTGCTAATAAAGAGAAGCTCTTGATTTTACTATAGCCCATTTTATTAATATCAGTATTTCCCCTTATAGTTAGTGTATGAAAGTGAAATTGTTGCTTAGTCGTGTCCAACTCTTTGCAATCCCATGGACTGTAGCCTGCCAAGGCCCCTCTGTCCATGGAATTCTCCAGGCAAGAATACTGGAGTGGGTAGCCATTCCCTTCTCCAGGAAATCTTCCCAACCCAGGAACTGAACCTGGGTTTCCCTCATCGCAGGCAGATTCTTTACCATCTGAGCCACCAGGGAAGCGCCATAGGTAGTGTATACATCTGTCCGATTTAAGAAATCTTTGCCGATCTCAAGTTTTTTTCTAATAACTGTATTATTTGCCTTTCATATCTAGACCTATGATTCACTTGGAGTTGTTTGTGTGTATGATATGAAAATGTGCAAATCTATTGTTTTCAATATGTATATATAATTACCCAGCACCATTAATTGAAAGAGCATTCTTTTTCGGCCACTCTGCATCGCCATCATTGTTGTAAACCGTGTCTATGTGTATGCAGGTCCGCTTCTGTGTTCTTTAGGCTGTTCAAATACCACCCTTAATTACTATAACTATATAACAAGCTTTTTTTTTTTTTTAATCTAGTAGCATAAGTCCTTCAACCATTACTATATTTATCGTGGCTACTCTTGGCTGCACTGAATTTCCACATACGTTTTATTATCTATTTATTTACGGCTACTCTGGGTCTTGGTTGCTCTGCGTGGGCTTTCTCTAGTTGTGCTGAGTGGCGGCTGTTCTTTAGTTGCGGTGTGCAGGCTTCTCATTGGGGCGGCTTCCTAGGGAGCACTGGTTTGGGCTCAGTATTTGCAGTGTGGGCCTAGTCGCTCAGCGGCTCGTGGGATCTCAGCTCCCAGACCAGGACTGAACCCGTGTCCGCTGCAGTGGCACATGGATTCTAAACCACCGGACCACCAGGGAAATCCCTCCAGATAAACTTTAGAATCAGCACATTAATGTTCTAAAGAAAATCCCTATTGCCTTTTTGATTTAGATTGCATTGATTCTTGAAGTCAAGTTAGGGATAATTTACATCTTTACAGCACTGAATTCTCCAATCCATGTATATCCTTTCTTTTATTTAAGTCTTCTTAAATTTTTCCCAATGTTTTATAGTTATCTGTGTAGAGGACTTGCATATCTTCTATATATCTGTTCTAAGCATTTGATTTTTATACCATTGTAAATGGTACTATTTTTATCTCATTTTCTAATTGCTTGCTGCTGGTATTGAAATAAAATAAATTGATTTTTTTTGTATACTGACCTTACCAAATTCAGTTATTATGTTTATTTTTTTCAGTTATTATGTTTAATACATTACCTACAGATTCTTTTGAAATTTCTCCATATACAATTTTATCATCTATGAACAAAGGCGGTTTTATTTCCTTCTTTTCTCATCTTATATATTTTTATTTGTTTTTCTCAACCTCTGCACTGGTTAGAGTCCTTCAGGAAAATGTTGAACAGAAGCAGTCAGCCTGGTTTCATGCGCTATCTCAAGAGAAATCTTTCAGAATCATGTTTGCTATAGGCTTTTGTCATCAATACCCTTTATCAGATTAAGGAAATTTGCTTCTTTTCCTAGTTTGCTAGAGTTTTCTTTTAATCATAGAACACTGAGTTTTATAAAAAGCTTTCTCTATCTACTAAACAGACACTTTCAGTTCAGTTCAGTCACTCAGTCGTGTCCAACTCTTTGCGACCCCATGAACCACAGCACGCCAGGCCTCCCTGTCCATCACCAACTCCCAGAGTTTACCCAAAGTCGTGTCCATTGAGTCAGTGATGCCATCCAACCATCCCATCCTATGTTGTCCCCTTCTCCTCCTGCCCTCAATCTTTCCCAGCATCAGGGTCTTTTCAAATGGGTCAGCTCTTTGCATCAGGTGGCCAAAATATTGGAGTTTCAGCTTCAACATCAGTCCTTCTGATGAACACCCAGGACTGATTTCTTTTAGGATGGACTGGTTGGATCTCCTTGCAGTCCAAGGGACTCTCAAGAGTCTTCTCCAACACCACAGTTCAAAAGCATCAATTTTTCTGGGCTCAGCTTTCTTTATAGTCCAACTCTCACATCCATACATGACTACTGGAAAAACCATAGCCTTGACTAGACAGACCTTTGTTGACAAAGTAATGTCTTCTGCTTTATAATATGCTGTCTAGACACTTTACCACACACAAAAAAGGATAAAAAAATAACAGTTAGCATATGAAGAGATGCTCAGCATCATTAGCCAATCAGTTCAGTTCAGTTGCTCAGTTGTGTCCGACTCTTTGCAACCCCATGAACCACAGCACACCAGGCCTCCCTGTCCATCACCAACTCCTGGAGTTTACTCAAACTCATGTCCATTGAGTCAGTGATGCCATCCAACCATCTCATCCTCTGTCGTCCCCTTCTCCTGCCCTCAATCTTTCCCAGTATCAGGGTCTTTTCAACAGTTAGCTCTTCGCATCAGGCGGCCAAAGTATTGGAGCAAATGCAAATTAAGGCCACAATAAGATGCCTTTACACACCTAATGGAATGGCTGGAATTTGAAAGACTGCCCATTGTCACTGAGGATATGAAGTAAAAGTAATTCTTATACACTAATAGTGGAGATGTACAAAAGTGTAGCAAATTTAGAAAAGAGTTTGGCAGTTTCTTAAAAAGTTAGTTATGAAAGTGTGTTGGTTGCTCAGTCGTGCCTGACTCTTTGCGACCCCGACTGTAGCCCACCAGGCTTCTCTGTCCATGGGATTCCCCAGGCAAGAATACTGGAGTGGGTTGCCATCCCCCTCTCCAGGGGATCTTCCCGACCCAGGGATCAAACCAGGGTCTCCTTCATTACAGGCGGACTCTTTACTGTCTGAGCCACAAGGAAGCCCCTCCCCCCCAAATATAAGCATCCAGACCAAAAAAAGTACATATTATGTGATTCCGTTCTGCATCTGTGGAGATGATCATATAGTTTTTCTTTTCTAGTTTGTCGACATGGTGAATTACATTTATTTTCAAATTTTAATCTATCAAATGAGGGATGAACCTCATTTGATCATGGCATATCATCTTTCTTGTATACTGTTGAGTTTAATTTGCTAACATTTTTATAAGAATTTCTGCATGCATATTTATGAGAGTTAATGATTTATAATGATTCCCCCTCACCTCCTGTAGTGACTCTGTCTGGTTTTGGTATCGGGGTAATAAGTGGCCTCATAGAATGAGTTGGGAAAGATTTTTTTCTGTTCAGTTTTCTAGAATAGATTGTATAGAACTGATAGGTGAAGTGTTCTATGAATGTCAATTAGGTCAAGTTAGGTAATAGTATTGTCAAGTCTCATATATCTTTATTCATCGTCTATCTACTTGTTTAAATTATTGAGGATTTTGAAATCTCTGACAAGTATTGTGGATTTTCTATTTCTTCCTGCAGTTCTATCATTTTTTATTTCCTGTATTTTGAATGTTTTGTTATTGAGTATATCAGAGTTTAAAATTGTTATATTCATTTTTGGAATTGAATGCTTTATCATTATGAAATTACTATACCCTCTTTATTGCAGGTAATATTTTTTGCTCTGAAATCTGCTTTGTCTGACATTAATATCTAGTTTTGTTTTGATAGGATAGTGTACCTTTTCCTCATACTTTTACTTTTAACCTAATCCTGGGTTTATATCAATATTTTTTTTTCTTTTTTTTTATATCAATATTTAGTCTGTTTCTTGCAGGCACCGTGTAGTTGGGTCTTTCTTTTTTATTGATCTCAACCATCTCTGCCTTTTAACTGGGGTGTTTAGACTTTAAATTTAATGCGATTATTGGTGTGTGAGCTTAATCCTACCATCTATTAGCTTTCTATTTGTCTCATCTGCTCTTTTTTATAATTTTTTTAGAAAGATCTTGGTTGCGCTGGATCTTTGTTGTGGCGTGCGGGCTTTCTCTGGTTGTCATGAGGGGACTTCTCCGGCTGCAGAACACAGGCTCTAGAGCACTCAGGCTCAGAATTTGGAGTAGACAGGCTTAGTTGCCCCAGAGCATGTGGGAATCTTAGTTCCCCAACCAGCGATCCCCATATCTCCTGCACTGGAAGTCTGATTCTTAACTACTGGACCGCCAGGGAAATCTCAGTCCCATCTGTTCTTTATTTACATTTTCTGGATGTTTTCGTATTGAATATTTGTTTGTTTGTTTCTATTTCCTTCCTTTGTTGGCATTTTAGGAACAACTCTGCAGTGTTTTCATAGTGTTGCTTTGGGGCAAGGATTGCAAACTTTGGCCACTTGGGCCTAATCGGACATGCTGCCTGTTTCTATAAGTAAAATTTTATTGGAACACAGTTACGCCTATTTGTTTATGTGCTGTCTGGGACTCTTTCACTCTATAATGGCAGAGTTGAATGGATGCAACAGAGACTATACAGCCTTAAATATTTACTATCTGGCCCTTATAGAAAACGTTTGCTGATCTGTACTACAGAGTTTATAACATACATCTTCAATTTTATCAGATTCTACCATCAAGTGATATTATTACACTTCATGTACAGTAAAGAAACTTACAACAGTAAATTTTTATTTTTTCCTTCCTTGCCTTTGAACTGTTGTTGTCAAATTTCTACATACATTATAAATGCCACATTATTTTTGCTTTAAATAGGCAATTAGTTTAGAAATGATTTAAATATTATATTTACATCTAAATGTATCCATTTATACTCAAGATTCTACATTTTACATTTACCTACATATTTACTATTTCCAGCACTCTTCATTCTTTTATGTAGTTCCAGATTTCTGGCTGGTATCATTTTTCTTTTGTCTGAAGGATTCCTTTCATTTCTTATAGTTCCAGTTTGCTGGTGATTAATTCTTTCAGTTTTTGTGTGTCTTCAAAAATCTTTATTTTGCATTCATCTTTAAGACATATTGTTACTGGGTACAGGATTCTAGAGTGACAGTTTTTCCCTTCTGATATTTTACAAAAGTTGTTTCTGACAGTAAATATGTTTGTTCCTTTGTGTATAATGTGCCTTTTTTTTTCTTCTGCCTGATTTTAAGATTTTCTATTTCTTTTAAAAATCAATTTGATTATTATTTGCCTTGGTATAGTTTAATTCTTATTTAATGTGCTTGAGGTTCACTGACTTTCTTGGGTCTGTGGGTTTATTTATATCAAATTTGGAAAATTTCAGCCACTTTTTTCTTGAAATATTTTTTTCTAGTTCCTCTCTCCCACCTTGCTTCTTTGGAGAGCCCAGGTACATGTATATTAGTTCCTTGACATTTCCACATAGCTCGTTGATACTCTGTTTTTTTTATTTTTTATTTTTGGTCCTTTTTCTCTCTGTGTTTTGTTTTGGATAGTTTCTATTTCAACATCTTCAAGTTCACTCATCTTTTTTTCTGCAGTATCTAGTCTACTGTTAATCTTATCTTGTGGTGGTGGTTTAGTTGCTAAGTCATGTGCAACTCTTTTGACTCCATGGACTGTAGCCCACCAGGCTCCTCTGTCCATGGGATTCCCCAGGCAGGAATACTGGAGTGGGTTGCCATTTCCTTCTCCAGGGGATCTTCCCGACCCAGGGATTGAACCCGGGTCTCCTGCATTGGCAGGTGGATTCTTTACCGACTGAACCGCCAGGGAAGCCCCTTATCTAGTGTATTTTTAATCTCAGACTTTTCAGTTTTCACACTCAGGAGTTTGATTTGGATCTTCTTTATATCTTCCATGTACCTTCTTAATGTGTTCAATCTTTTTTCTAGCTTCTTGAACATATCGAATATAATTATCATTGTAATAATGTTTTATTAATAATGTAATAATGTTCTTGTATTCTATAATCTATATAATTTCTGAGTTAGATTTGATCACTTGTTTATTTTTTCCTCATTGTGAATTGTATTTTTTTCCTTTGCATGCCCATCAATTTTTTTCAGTCAAATGCCTGATAGTTTTACCTGTTGAGTATTGTATGTTTTAGTAGTCCTATAAATTGTCATGCTTTGTTCTGGAATGCAGTTAAATTACTTGAAAACAGTTTGACCTTTTCAAGTCTTGCTTTTCAAGTTTTGTTAGCTGGAACCAGAGCAACACTTAGTCTAAAGATAATTTTGCCCTGCGTTTCCCAGCTGTTACGGTGGTAAAGAATCCATCTGCCAATGCAGGAGAAACACAAGAGACAAGGGTTTGATCCCTGGGTCAGGAAGATTCCCCTGGAGAAAGAAATGGCAACCCACTCCAGTATTCTTGCCTGGAAAATTCCACGAACAGAGGAGCCTGGCGGGCTACAGTCCATGGGGTCGTAAAGAGTCTGACATGACTGAGCGCACAGCACACGACTTTGCCCTCCCTCTGAGGCAAAACCCTCTGCATCTTTTCCTTCTGCTGCAGGAATGATGGCGTTTTCCACTCTGACTCGTGGGGATGGGAATGGCTGCTATCCCCAGTGTTCAGGCATCACTGTCCCACCCTGAGGTTTTCAGCTGAGTCTTTTCCAGTCTTGCGGAGCTTTCTCACATGCCTGTGCTGATCGACACTGGTCTCCAGAACCCTTTCTCTTCTCTGCACCATTTGTGGGGAGTGGGAGGGAGAAAAAGGGGGTGTTTATGTGTCATCGATACCTCACAATTCAGACAGATAAAAACTTAACTTGTGTTCTATAAACGGTCCCCTTCTGCTTTTTCACCCCAAGTCTGCTCAAAGCAGAAACCTAAACTTGTATTTGTCTTGCGTTGCGTCCTGAGGAAGGACAGGGAGCCCCCTTCCGAGACTTACCGGCCTCTCTGTATCTTTATGGCGCGTTGCCCGCCTGTGACCTTGGGCTGAGGAAGGGTGAAGACTCTCTCTTCCCCTGCCTGGCTTCTCTTCAAGGCTGCCCCAGACGGTTTTGTGTCCCCTTCCTCCTTGGCAAGAATGCCTTTCCTGTCAGATCCTTCCTCTTCTCTGGGACAAAATACTTCAGCTGTGTGACCAAGTCTCACTAGTTTAAGAGCTGGGGGGGGTGAGGAGATGGGGGGGACACCAAAAAATTACCAAGAAGGTCTTTTAAAAAATCCAGTTTCACGTTTCTCTTGTCCAAAGGCAAGCTTCTCTTTTATTCCACTTAAAATATTAACATATAGCTCTGTGTTTTGTGCATGTGTCAGTCATTGTTTTGAGCTCATTTTTATTCTGTTTTTGTTGTTTAGGTTTTACTGCTGCATATCCAACACAATCCTCCATTCCTTATAAATATCAGCCTTTCGTAATTCCAGAATCAGAAAAAAAGGGATTTAACAGCCAAGCCAAGAGATTTTACCACAAACAGGTAACGAATGGCCTAGTCTTACTCTGAGTCTGGATTTTAGCGCGTCTGCCTTGTGCGTCTGTCTCTGTGATCAGGAGAGGACAGCGTCACCCAAGGAGCGGCAGCACCCTCTACGCCCATGTGCTCCGACCCGATGGTAACAATGAGCTGACACGATATGAAGTCCAGCGGGAAACAACATGATTTTACTTCATATACCAGAGATTTTTTTTATTTTTCATTTTCATAATAATTTCAAAAATACATTTCTCCTTAAATTTTTTTTTGGTTTCTTGGGCCATACTGAAACCAAAAAAAATTTAACAAGAAATGTATTTTTTGAATTATTATGAAAATGAAAAATACAAAAATCTCTGGTATATGAAGTAAAAGGTAAAAAATCCTCTCCTCCCTCTCTCCCCAGCCTTATTCAAAACTTGACAGGAACTCACAAGACTTTCTTCAAATAATAAACAAGCTGTGTAGCTCAGATGGCAAAGAACCTGCCTGCAATACAGGAATCCCGGGTTCGATCCCAGGGCCGGGAAGATCCCCTGGAGGAGGGAATAGCTCCCCACTCCAGTATTCTTGCCTAAAGAATCCCATGGACAGACCACGGGGTCGCAGAGTTGAACATGACTCAGCAACTAACACACACACAATAAACGTACATTTACCTTTGTGGTGATACATCCCCTCTTTTCCTTAAGTTTCAACAGTGTGTTATATAATGTTTCTGCATTTCCCCCAGTCTCACCTTCTTCCCCAAATATCTGTGTCTCTTTTCCTCTCTGATCTGGAAGATTCTGCTTGGCTTCTGGGGGAGGTGGTCCCCTGGTAACTTGAAATTTCACCATCCGAAGGCCCGGGCCTGACGTTCTCTCCTCTCACCAGCGGGGGGCGGAAGCAACTCACAGACGCCAGAGTCTTTAAAAATCATTTTTTTATTCTCCTAACTAGGACCTTCAGAATAGCATTCTTTTGGAGGAGTCGTCATGTCAGTTACCTTTCGCAGCATTCTAAAAATGTTTTTCATCCTACCCCCACGGCCACGGTGGCGAGAGGGAACGGGGAGGTCTGGGTCCTGAACTCGGATGAGTCCTTTGCAAGCCATGTGCCCTTTGGCCTGTTTCCTCCCTCTTAAGCAAGAGCGCTCAGTTGGAGAATGTTTAAGTTCCTTCCACTTCTGCTATTTTAGGATTCCAAGAGAGCAAATAATTAATATAGTGTGTGTACTTACATACACACACACACATATTTTTAATTACTTGTAGGTTTTCTCCAAAGGTGATAAATAAGCTATTTATTTACTCATGAGTTTTCTCCCTTCTCTCTTATGTTTTAACTGGCCCTTTGTCTCTCCCTTTTGGTCTGGTTTTCCATTTGTCCATTTACCGAGAATATACTATCCATCTCTCCGATATCAGCAGCCCGACCTCCAAGAGGGAGGGGACACAGGTATACCCATGGCTAATTCATGTTGACCTTTGGCAGAAAACAACATGATTCTGTAAAGCAATCATCCTTCAATTTTAAAAAATGAATAAATGTTAAATTAAAAAAAAACAATAGTAGCCGCCATTTACCGATCCCTCCTCTGTATAAAATCAGTTTTAGACCGTGTTTCTAATCCTGAGAACAATGCTAAAAGGAAGGGTTTATACTTTTAACAGAAGAGAAAACTGGGGCTTAGGGAAGTTAAATGACCCACCCGAGGTCTCACAATGCAGGATTTGGCACATAAGAGCCCTCACATGAATATTTGCTGAATCAATGTTGAAAGAATTAGATCTCAAACCCAGGCTCAACTCATTCCAAAACCTCACGCTCTGTCTACACATGCCACCACACCTCTCTCTGTGGCCTGCAAAGTCATCAAGTCCATCTATGACAGTCAGCCAGCACGTTTCTGAAAAGGCCTCCCCCGGACAGACCAAGCTCAAAACAGGGGAAGGTGTCACGTGTAGGCCCCATTCCACATGATCACGGTCTAAAGACTCAAATCCAGAAACGCGAATGGTCTGGTTTTTAAAGTCTGCATTTTCAACTACTATTGAGAAAGTAGAAATTTCTACTTTCTACTTTGTAGAAATTGTTCTCCTGAAGGAATCAAGGTGTCAGCCAGCCAAAGCTATAGGCAGTATCTGATACAGAGAGAAATAGCTTAGAAATTTGATTCGTAATTTTTAAACATGGTTGTGTTGTTTCAACAACGTGAAAACGTTCATCTAAGCACTTGAAAGCATTTTGTAAATAAGTATGGAACTTTATGAAAAGGGCATGGGATCCATAAACCAAGTCCCCGGAATTCTGTTATTAGCTGCGTGGCTTTAGGCTACTCCCTTGACTTTTTGTGGGCCTCAGTTTCCTCATCTGAAATATACAATTCAGGTTATTGTAATTTTTTAGGTTCTTTAAGCTGTAAAAACAGGAAAAAAAAATACCTTAATCCACACTCACAGTTCTCATTCTTCCTGAAGAAACTTGAGCATTGAGAAGCTAAGAATCCTGTTTAACATCGCCCAATAATTTAGTGAGGCAATACAAATTAAAAGCAGATTTTAAAACTCCAGTGTCTCACCACCCTTCTTATAACAGTAATTGTACACACCCTGGGCCTGATCTCATAACTTGGTTGTGTCCTCACATCAGTCCTGTGACCCATTTAGCACAACTTTAACGCGGAGAATGAGTACCTTCTGAAACGTGCACTTACCTTAATCAGACTTCTGCAGAGAAACCTCAGGGCGCCCCAGCCCAGCTCGCATTCCCCGTAAGAATCTGACTGCTGGGTACAAGGAATCCTTCCTGGACTCGGTGTCTGGACTGGCAGTTTTGGCTGCTAGGAGTGAAGTCTGCTTCCCCGAACATTTTACAATTATTTACAGACTCTGCATGCATGAAGAGACATGCCTAATCTAGGACCGAGCCTAACCCAGCAACCCGAAGGACACTTTCCTCCCCTGTCTCCCCAGTTCTGTCCCCCTGTCACCGTGGACTGTAGTCACTATTTCCCAAGCTGCCTAACACTAAGGACACCCACTTAAAGTCTTTGCATCTCCATTTCCTCATCTCAAAAATAAGGATGTTATATTAATCATAGGTAGGCCCTTGCCAGGGATTCCTATTCCATAATCCTAAACTTGATTGATCATCTCCAGGCACAGATGAATGGGTACTGGGGGAATACAGACACCCGTCTTCGGATAGGGTGTGTGTATCCTACCAGTAGCCATGATTTTAAAATATATGTTAATTTCAGAGAGAGCCTGATGGCAAATCCATGCTCCCTGTGGTAAGCAGAACAGTGTTTAATTTGTGATGAAATTATAAAAAGCTAGCACTGTTCACCTTGATAAGGTACCAGACTCGGATTTTTCACATGTCAGAGATTTTTCATTTAAAGGAAGTTCAGTTTGCAGAGACCACCATGTTCAGGGGGATAAGCCCCCCTACATGTGGTCTTCGTTGCATGATTGAAGCTGCAGTGGGCTGTGCCTGACCTTCCTATTCTGGAAGCCTTCCCTCCACCAGCATCAGTCACCAGCAGCCCTTCCTCGGGGGGTGTGCAGGACACATGGGTGGGAAGAGCAAACCCTTGGCCGGCACAGACAGCGCACCAGGCTCCCCTCGAAGATGTGGCATTTCTGACTTCATTTAATCCCCATAATCACCATGAACTAAGTCCTACCATGACCCCCACTTTTCAGATAATGAACCCCGAGACATAAAGAGGGTTAAGTAACTTGCATAGCCAGTGTCAGGTGGAGTGAGGAGCACCCAGGTGGCAGGTCCTAGCTCCCAGACTGTTTCCGGGCATCTTTGCAGAGGGTGGGGTCGTGGGAGGGGGAGCAGGGGGCATGGAGGACGCACACCTCCCCTGAACGCCCCCCACCACCTTTGCCTTGGTGGGGCAGTGATGGACGTGTGCATCTTATCAGTGTCCTTTCCAGACTCCAAAGCCCCTCAAAAGTCAGTCAAATGACCCCATCTCAAGTCCAGGCCTTTCTCATCGAGTCAGGGTAACTCACGCCATCCACCTTACATTGTTTTGCCACGTCTCCTCTGTTCTGATTCTAGAACATACGTACGGGCTGCCAACCAGCTGTGCCTATATCCTGGCTCCTTAGCCCAGCCCTGGTCCTCAGTAGGCTTGAGTGTGTGCTTGCTGAATTGAGTTTTTGCCCCTATTCCACTCGGGATTTCCAGGGACTGCTAATGAGCTGACAGCAGATTTAACAGGGAGGCATGCATGCTGTTTCTCAGTCGTGTCCGACCCTTAGCCACCCCACGGACTGTAGCCCACCAGGCCCCTCTATCCATGGGACTCTCCAGGCAAGAATACCGATTTGGGTTGCCATTTCCTTTTCCAGGGAATCTTCCTGACCCAGGGATCGAAACTGTGTCTCTCGTGTCTCCTGCACTGGCAGGCAGGCTCTTTTACCACTGCGCCACCTGGGAAGTCCTAACAAAGAGGAGGGCTCTACAAAAGAGGGGCATGGGTGCTCAGAGATAAGGCCCACATAATCGATGCTTTGAAAATGCAGGTTTGGCTTCTCTTGTCCGTGTCTCCAACCCAGCCGGGCCAGCGATGGGCTAAGAACTTTGATGGCAGACATTAGTGTATGGAGTTGGGAGGAGGTGGGAAGGAAGGGGAAAAAAGCAGAAAAGAAGGGTGTCTTACAAGGGGCACATCTCAGAATTGTAGACAATTTGAACCAGAAGGGCTTCAGTGACCCCTGAATCTCTGGGCACAGCAGAGGGGCCCCATCTGTGATAGTATCCCATGCTGAGCGGGTAAAAAGGAATTGCTGCTGCTTTTTTTTTTTAATGATTTTTTTACATGAATTTTTGTTGGGGTATAGTTGCTTTACAATGTTGTGTTTCTGATGTACAGCAGAGTGAATCAGCTGTATGTGTACATACATCCCACTTTTGTGGATTTCCTCCCCATTTAGGTCACCACAGAGCCCTGGGCAGAGTTCCCCGTGCTGGGCAGTAGGTCCTCACTAGTTATCTAT